ACTAAGCAAGGGACCACTCAGGGTGGTGTTTCACTTCGAGGGAGGTAATGGTAGCTGGTGAAAGGGATGAGCAAGGGGCGAACACGAACATGTTCGTGTTCGCCCCTGCACGAACACAGCCGTTTGCCGAACCGAAAAATGTTCGGTTCGGCGAACACTTTTAGCAAAAACATATGTTCGGTGTTCGCCTGTGAAGGATTTTTCGGGCGAACCTCGAACACGTTCATGTTCGACACGGGGCAAATTGCAGCAGCGGCCCGAACACGAACGTGTTTGGGCAAACCTCAAACACGTTTGTCACGACCACTTTAAGCTAAGCTAAGAAAATAAACCTGTTCGGTTCGCCTCGAACACCTTCGAGACGAACCGAACAAGTGTTCGTTTCTTTGCTCATCCCTAGCTGGTGATGAGAGCAAAGTGAGTGCCCCAAGCGCATTGCCCAGCGCCAGCCTCCCGGTGTCAATTGACAGGCTGGTCCTCGTGGACACAGCACAGGAGGCCGTGCCGGCATTTGTGCCCAGCAAGACCCAGGATCTCTCCCAGCTGCTGCCGACACCTACAACTGCCCTCGTCCCATGCCCTCGCCTAACTAAGGCCTGCCCTCGATGGCCCTTCACCACCAACCTCCCACTGCATCGGTTAATGCGGGACTGTGAGGCATTGCTCCCAGCCAGAATAAACTAGGGCAATGCTGGTAACGGGGTGAAAGGAACACACCGAGACAAGGCTGCAGCACCGACTTACCGCATGATCGGACAACCACCTTCATCAGCAACTCTCGGCATCAAGCCTGCGTCCCTAAACTTGACCACACTCCCGTGTATTCATCCATACATGCCAGCCAGCCACCCCAAAATGTAGTCTCCTCACTTACCAGTAGTTGCGTATCCATTGTCATACAGCCATAGTTGTACCTTTGCTCTAAATACCTGATGCTGATGATATTACTGTACCGGGTAAAATTGCTGTGCCTCATAGCATTGCTGCACCTTATTACATCGCTGCGCTGATCCGATGATGTTGCCAAACGACGATATTGCTGCCCCTAGTGGTATTGCTGCACCTGACAATATTACTGCACCTGACGATATTACTGCACCCGATGATATTGCTGCACCCGATGATATTGCTGCACCTGATGATACTGCTGCACCTGATGATATTCCTGCACCTGATGGTATTGCTTCACCTGATGATATTGCTGCAGCTGATGGGATTACTGCACCTGATGATATTGCTGCAACAGAAAGAGGCAGCTACGTTGGAAAATACGCCCTGGGGGGGTGGGCGTATTGCGTAATACGCTAGCGTATGTACGCAATACGCTAATACGCCTAAAAATCGCTAAAATACGCCGGGGCAGCCCTTAAAAAAAAAAACAAAAAAAAACAAAACAAAAAAAAGGCGAGAATTTGCAACGGCGAGAATTGAACCCTAGACCTCGCACAGCACCCAACCCCTTTCTGCAATTCGAAATTCAAAATCCAACCCCTCCCACATCCCTAACCTCACAACACCCCTCTCAACCTCCTAAACCCAACCTCCCCCCTTTCACTCGTTCGAACATCTCCTCAATCGCTATACAGCTCGTCTTTCATTCAATCCTGCATTTCTCTTCTTGCATTTCGTCCAACTCTCGTCGAGCTCGAACTCTCCTAGCTTTGGTACTTCCTCACCATGGCGACCTCTACTCCCTACATTTCGAGGGCGGAACCTGCCCGGGAAAAAAGTTTTACCTGCCCGCCCAGCGTATTTTTGCGTATCAGCAGTACGCCAGCCATTGCGTACCGCGTATATACCAAGCGTATAATGCGCTTGCATATAATACTCGATACTCGTATTTTCCAACGTAGAGAGGCAGAGGCGAAGCGATGGAGAGTAGGGGTGAGCAAGATCACGAACGCCTGTTCGGTTCGCCTCGAACACGTTCGAGGCAAACCGAACAGGCTTTTTTTTTGGCCTGAAGTGTTCGGGGCGAACATGTTCGATGTTCGCCCGAACATGTTCAATGTTCGCCCGAACATGTTCGTGTTCGGGGCGCTGCTGCAACTGCAATTTGCCCCGCGTCGAACACGAACGTGTTCGAGGTTCGCCCGAACACGCCTTCACAGGCGAACACCGAACACCCTTTTTGGCTAAAAGTGTTCGCCGAACCGAACCAGTGTTCGGTTCGGCGAACGGCTGTGTTCGTGCAGGGCCGAACACAAACACGTTCGTGTTCGCCCCTTGCTCACCCCTAATGGAGAGGAAGACCAGACCAGAGTAAACATGGACTGGGAGAGGGAGGACCATAACGGGCAACAGTTGTGACAGGGTCTTGAACGGTGTGTGTCGCACTCACAGAACTTTCAGAAGGCTGAGGAAAGTCACGGTGGCAGGGATGCTACCTGGCAGCTGGTTGCTTTCAAGATCGCTGTGAGGAAAAAATTACAGCAGCAAGGAGGGCAGGCTGTCGGAAATGAGAAGTTGAGCAAACCTCACGGGGGGAAAGAAAGGTAGTGTTGCTCAAACTCCGCATTGTCCACCTTTGCCTTGCCCACCCATAGCCCAGCCAGCCTTAGCCATAGGCCTGCCTGAGCACGGGTCCGAGCCGAGGCGGCTTGGATCAAGCGAGCTGGGATGGGCTTGTTGTTATCCCGACTTGTGCCAAGTTGGTTCAACACAAGCCGATCCAACCTGGCTCGTAAATCGTGTTGACTACTATTGAGATCTGGAAGCTACTATGCACACTTTTAATTCACACTTAACAGTCCCCACGGGGTCACCTCCAAGGGTCCTTGAGTGCCTGGCAAGGCCAGCCCCTAACCAAGGGTCCGTGTGTTGTAGAGGGACACGCCAAGTATGAAAACGATCATGTGCAATAGAGCATTCTCATAACTCCTTGCGCAGCGTTATGACGACGAACTAGTCGTGTGCAGAAAGTTCTCTTCACGTCAATACGATGATAGAGAATAACTTCACTCAAAAGGATTGATTACAACTGAACACAAGCACGCATTTATATTTCGTCTAGCACACAAGCATAAGAAAGCACAAAGCAGTTGTTTAACTATACTTCAGGACTTCGCCAGATGCGCCAAGGAAAACGGTTGTCGAACTGCTTCGGAATTTGGCTTGGTTCTCCCCTGTAGAATAACAGTCTTAAAATTTCATGTCTGCCAAATTCCCCTGCTGACTCCCCTCGTGAACGTTCGCGACTTCTCGTGCGCAATCATAAACGCTCGTGTGAGATTACCGTTTTCACGAAGTCTCACAGTTGAAAAACGGCTTTCACCGTTTTTCTCCTGTATCGAAATTGTCCCTTTACGCGCGCGATCTTTCCAGCAAAGTTACCTGTAAGTCGAGTCAACGCGGGATACGGTTTTTCAACCGTAATCCTGAGCAGCCCCACGACTGCAATCATGCACGACGGATATTTCGGTCGTGCTGTACAGTGCGCTGTACTGCGCGTGGGCAGGGCGATCATTCGCCTTGTCCTGTTGTGATCGTGGGCCATGCCACGCTCGCAACAGTGCGAAGGCACACGCACGGGCCTGAGGGCCCACACGCGCGATCAGGACCCCACGCGCGGGTCCCGATTTCCTCGCGCTGTTGACCTTGACCATCGCGAGAATTCTAAGGGTCAACATTGACCCCTCGTGAACACCCACGATACTTCATGAGCACACACGAAAACAGAAAAAACGAAAACTAACATGAACACTCACAAACATTCATGAACGGCGCACAGACTTCACGGAATTTCACGAACACAGAATTAACACACGCTTATGAAAACTCGCGAAGCAACGCAAACGCACAGGAAGTCTCGCATTCACACACGGACCTTCACGAACACTCAGGAACGCAACCTTTCACGGGAACTCACATAACTCATGAACCGTTGAGCCGATTCACGAGCCGTAAACACAGAAACGTGAAGCACATAAATGCGCAACTCACACACAACAAATTACCTTGAGACGAAACACCTCACTTTCACTCGACGTCGACACATAGGCGGTAGGTTGTCGTGCAAACTATGTATTGCACTCAACAAATCGAAAAAGGGCCATTGTGGCTGAGATGAGAGCTGGACGGCCACAAGCCCCCGACTCGAGCCTCTAGTCTAGTTGCGATTTTGTTCTGCTAAAATACTACTTGACAAGTAGTACTTAATGTTAGTGTTAGCCCTCAATCTCACACTTTGTATTTTGTACTTTCTATATCCTAGCGTAGTGAAGTTTGCATATTGTGTTTGGTTGGGTGTCACCCACATCCCAACCAAACCCAAATGTGATCTCCAAGTAATCTCCAACCCACTAATTGGAGATTGCCTTGGGATAACCCCCCATCCCTAGATTTTGTCCCCGATTCCCCTCCCCATCCATTCCTTGCTCATCTTGGATGTACTTAAAGCCAGCAGGCAAAATAGTGACCCCGTCCCAACTTGAATGTGATGTTGCGACATAATTTTTTGGAAGCGAAGCGAGAATGAAACAAGTCTGACAAAACACTGCTTGAAACAATTCGTGCAAGCAGAGTGAGCTCATGGGATGTTGTGGCTCCCGCCTGAATGGACTTTCCCAGTCACATTTCTGCGACCTGCACTTGCACGACCGTTCCCTTGCGATGGTTTCCATCACCCTGGCAATGGGTTCCATCGCAAGGCCCAACTTCAATATCAAACTGGTCCAGGGTTCATAGCTGCCTGATTTCTACTCCCTTGAAAGTTTTTTGCCACGCATAGTATAGCGGGAAACTTAGGTGCTTATGTCATAGGCACGAAATTATCGACGACCGCGTTTGTTATTGACTTAGCATGAGTGCGTGATTTAGTAATACGTGACATAGTAGCGCAGTGCTATTTTTCCTGCCAGCAGGGCAATCGTCAACCTCCTCGTCGCCCTTCCTTTCTCCCCTCTCGTCACCCACCTCGCCGCCTATGTGCTCGCCTCGACATTTGAAACGACCTATCGTCGCCCTTACTTTCTCCCCTCCCGTCACCCACCTCGCCGCCTATGTGCTCGCCTCGACATTTGAAACGCCCTATCGTCGCCCTTCCTTTCCCCCCTCCCGTCACCCACCTCGCCGCCTATGCGCTCGCCTCGACATTGAAACGCCCTCTCGTCGCCCTTCCTTTCTCCCCTCCCGTCATCCACCTCGTCGCTTATGCGCTCGCCTCAACATTGAAACGCCCTCTCGTCGCTCTCGCTCTCTCCCATCCCTTCCCGTCGCTCTCGCTCTCTCCCCTCCCTTTCCGTCGCTCTCTCTCTCTCTCTCTCTCTCTCTCTCTCTCTCTCTCTCTCTCTCTCTCTCTCTCTCTCTCTCTCTCTCTCTCTCTCGTCGCTCCCTTTCAGTTGCTCTCGCCTTCTCCCCTCCCTTCCCATCACTCTCGCTCTCTCCTATCCATTCCCGTCGCTCTCGCTCTCTCCCATCCCTTCCCGTCGCTCTCGCTCTCTCCTCTTCCTTCCCGTCGCTCTCTCTCTCTCGCCGCTCCTTTCCGCTGCCCTCGCCTTCTCCCCTCCCTCCTCATCGCTCTCGCTTTCTCCCCTCCCTCCCCGTCGCTCTCTGAAACTCTCCCCTCCCTTCCCGTCGCTCTTTCTCTCATCGCTCCCTTCCCGTCGCTCTTTCTCTCGTCGCTCCCTTCCCGTCGCTCTCTCTCTCTCGTCGCTCCCTTCCAGTCGCCCTCGATGCACAAGTCCTCTCACACCCCCCATCCCCCACCCCATCGCCTTCCCGCTCGCCACAAAACGCCCTCCCGCCCCCCACCCACTTTCTCCTCCCATCGCCTGCCTCGTCGCCTTCGCACTCGCCCTCCAACGCACTACCCGTGCCCTTCCTCTCTCCCTTCCTCTCGCCCTTCTCCCCCCCTCTCCTGTCGAGCTCGCTTTCTCTCCCCGTCTCCCGTCGAGCTCGCTTTCTCCCCCCCACTCCCGTCGAGCTCGCTTTCTCCCCCCCCTCTCTCAACATCACCATACTTGTCCCTATCGCCCTCTCTCCCACCCGTAGCGTCACAATTCCCGTCGCCCCCTCCCTCTCACCCCTCTCGCCTCCCCTCCGAAACACCCTCGCGTCGCCTACCCCGTGTCTTTCCTCGCTTCCCATCGCCTCCGCGCTCTCCTGTCCCGTCCCGTCGCCCTCGTGCCTTCCCTCCCGCTCCCGCGCTTTTGCACTTGCCCATTCCGTCCAATCCCGTCGCCCACCGTCCCTTCCCGTCGCCTTCACACTCGCCAATGCCTAAACCCTTCCCGCCCCTTCCTGTAGCCTTCGCGCTCGCCCATCCCATCCCTTCTCGTTGCCTTCGCGCTCGCCCATCCCATGCCCTCCCGTCGCCCTCGTGATCTCCCTTCTCGCCGCCTTTGCGCTCGCCCTGAAACGCCCAATCGCGCCCTGACTCTCTCCCTCCCATTACCCACCTCGCCGGCCTCGAGCTCGCCACGAAATGCCCTCTCATCTTCTTTCCGTCCTCCTTGTTTCCGAAGCCCTCATTTTTCCCCCTTCTTCCCGTCCTTGTTTCCCCTCTCGCCCCGTCGCCTTCGTGCTCTTCCCTCTCGTCCCTTCCCTTCACCTTGGAACTCTATGCTTTTTCCCGCGTATGTTTTTTTCCCATGGCAGTTGTTCCATGTGAATTGCACATGCTACCACTCGATGTGAATTTGTCACTCTTGCACAATGAGAATTGCATGTCGCAACGTTGCAAAACATTTGCACATGCTTGAATACATTTGCACATGCTTGCGACCCCTACTGTGTCGAAATTGAAATGACAGACGGGGAAAAAAAAAACTCACAAGTCAACACTTCAACTTTCCAAAACAACACAAACTATGTTTCAGATTTCCAGTGGACCCAACTAAAAGGGGGGGGTCACTATTTTGCCTATGGGCTTTAAAGAGCTTCAAGCTCATTACTACTGTAAGGATTCCAAGCTCAAGTTCTGGCACGGTATCAGAACGTTGGCTGGGAGTCACGAGAACATGGTGATGTGAGGAAGTATGGGCCTAAAGAGTGGAAGGGGAGAAAGTAATCATGTAGGAAAAAGACAATTACTGGATTAAACAGATCTGAAAGCACGCTGGCTGGCTTGTCAAAGCGAGGCGCCGATAAACAGGGAGAGCGGCTCTCGGCGGGCTCACCTCAAGCTGCAACGAGAAATCAGAGGCTAGGCTCGATGCTTTTTCGAACCTAGACCTGGCTCAGTATTTGATCAGGCCTACTTAGCTGGTCACGTGGTCACGGACTTCTGTTAGGCAGAACCGACGCTCTGCAAAATGAGGACCGTTCACTAGTCCGAGTAGGGATGATTGGAGGAGGTAAGCAGGCTGGGAATAGAGAGAGTGAGGGGAGAAACGAAGTAGGAAGGGGTTTAGGAGGAGGCCAGAACTGGTAGGGGGCGGCAAGAAATGGGGAAAGGCGGGAGGAGGGAGAGGTGGGCTGGAGAAACGACACGAGGTGTAGCTGTGCTGAGGGATGAAAGGTGGGGTGGGGTGCCGATTCCCTGCAGCAAGTTGTCAAGACGGCATGACGTTGAGGACGTACAGAAAAGTGAGCTTGCTGAGGCTGCTGAGGGAGTTTGGAATCTGCCCTCCCAGCTTGTAGTTCCGGAGTTGCCTGTTTCATGGTGTGTCAATGATGGTGTGTCAATGAACGTGTCGATGCTGGTGATCATGGAGCATTGCTTTTGAAGAAAGACTTGAATTGCAGCACGATGGAGGGCACCCTCTGCCAATCACCCCCTCTCTCCCATCCTCTCATTCCCATCCTCTCACCCTCATCCTCTCACTCCCATCCTCTCACTCCCATCCTCTCACTCCCATCCTCACTCCCATCCTCTCGCTCCCATCCTCTACTCCCATCCTCTCACTCCCATCCTCTCACTCCCATCCTCTCGATCCCATCCTCTACTCCCATCCTCTCACTCCCAGATGAGTGTACGATCCCATCATGAGCGTACGAATGGTGGGAGGTTTGGATGTGGGGGAGAAGGTTAGGAAGAAGTCACATTACTACTGCTGGATGAAGCCCTTGGCTACGTAACGCGCTTTGAACACCGGGGCCTCGTCTGGGAGCTTTTTTACACGGAACAACCACTTGCCCCCGACGATGTTGACTCCTGGAGGTGGAGTCTCGTCGTCGAAGGAGTGGTTGCGGGTGAATGCTTCAATCTCCGCTTCCATGGCAGCACGCCATTCGACAGCATGAGGGCCTGAGAGAGCCTCTTGGACGGTGAGAGGGATAGGGATGGTCGGGTTTTCCGTGAAGTTGAGTGAGGGTGATCCAGTGATGTCAGGGAAGATGTGCGAGAGCTGGGGAATGACTGCGTGAATATCATAAAGCTCCTCATGCCTATCTTCAAGAAGGGTAGAGGGCACATCCCCCCCGGCAGGAGGAGTCGAAGTGACTGTGGAGCAACGAATAGCCAAGGCCAGAGGAGGAGCCTTAGTGGGAATATACGCTTATAGCGTATATACGCGTATCGTATATACGCTAACGTATATACGCTAAATGCTTAAGGGTCGATTTGGTAATACGCTTTTCGGGCAGGTAAAAAACTATCCCGGGCAGGGTGAAAAAAACGTCGTGCTGAAGATTAAGAAGGTGATCCCTATTCTCATTAAGACTTTCGTAGCATTTCCCTAAGTCTGAACGGCGATTGGGGTGGGACGTGGAGTAGACACTAAAAGGAGACGTAGGTAGGAATCGGAAGGAGCTCTGCTGTTAGAAAGCGGGAATGCCAACTAGAAATGACGACTGGAATTTTGCTGGCTTGTAAGTAGCGTGAGTGGGGTTTGGTGGGGGACGTTTTTGACAGGTTGGAATTTGTAGATAATATGGGTTCCAATGCGGTACCAATCTAATGTTCAAATTTGAACTCCCTGCAACTTCGAAGGCCCACTCCCGCTTCCCTAGACCGTCAAATTGCATTTCGACTTAGGCGAAATGCTCAGCAGAAGATTCCGCATCTTTCTGTATACAAGCGATTTTTTTCCCTGGGCAGCCCGAAAAAAATTCTGATAGCGTATAGCGTATTAGCTAGCGTATTGCGTTTTGCGTACACACGCTAGCGTGTATACACTATACGCTTTAGGGTTTGAGCGTATATTCCCACTAAAGGAGGAGCAGGGCCGTGCGAGCGAGTGCCATGGGCTACCAGAGAGGAGGGCGGAGCAGGCGGTGTCTGAGGGATTGACTTAGGAGGCTTGGGCGGGGGAATTGGCCGCCGCTTGTACGTGATCAGTTCGAGCGGCTGTGGAGGAGCGGGTGCCTGGGAGGAAGGGGGGACTGGGGGAGGAGGTGGGGCCGGAGGGTGCGACCGCCGATGGTATGTGATTGGTGCGCTCGGAGGTGGCGGCGCAGATGGCAGGGCGGCAGGTGAGGGGGAGGGAGGAGCAGCTGCCGAAGACACCGGTGAGGGCGGGTCAGAGACCTCAGAGAGGGACGGTGCGGTGGCAGGAGGGGTAGGAGGTGAAGGGGCCGGAGCAGGCGGGAGGTCAGGAGGCGCATCAAAGTCTGCCCACACGAGGGAGGGTGGATCAGAGAGAGGGTCCCGTCTCGAAGTGGAGTAGAATGGGCGGGTCTCATCAAAGACAACGTCGCGGCTCCGGACCAACTGTTGAGTGTAGGGGTTGAGAAAGAGGTAGTCAGGCGAGTCGGCGTTGTGCCCGAGGTAGATGCACGTCTGGGTCTTGGGACCGAGCTTGCCGCCGTGCTGCCGTCGAGCCTGAGGGTTTCCATCCTCTCACTCCCATCCTCTCACTCCCATCCTATCACTCCCATCCTCTTGCTCCCATCCTCTTACTCCCATCCTCTCACTCCCATCCTCTCACTCCCATCCTCTCACTCCCATCCTCTCGCTCCCATCCTCTCGCTCCCATCCTCTCACTCCCATCCTCTCACTCCCATCCTCTCACTCCCATCCTCTCACTCCCATCCTCTCACTCCCATCCTCTCACTCCCATCCTCTCACTCCCATCCTCTCACTCGCATCCTCTCACTTCCATACTCTCACTCCCATCCCCTCACTCCCATCTCTCACTCTCATCCTCTCACTCCCATCGCCTCACAGGGCCACGATCATGCCGGAGGGGTCGCACGTGAGGCCCGTGGCACTGCTGCAGTCCGGACTCGCGCCACTCCACCCGGGGATGCTCTGCCCCCATGCCGCCTGGCACTCCTGCAGGAATTGCACTGCAACGAGTGACAGGGGGTGGGGGGCAGAGGTGCGAAGCAGGGGGTTGGAGGAGGGTGAGGTGGGTGGGATGGGGAGCGTGTGGAGAATTTCCACAACGAACCTCATGGCTGACGTCAGCCTGAAAACGGCTCACGCTCAGCGATCGTCATCCTGTGTCACTCCATCTCGTCTCTCTCTTCCGCAACCTGGATTAAAGGAATTCTAGAGCCCGCATGACTGCGAACACTTGTAGTAATGGAACCAGACGTCACAGGTAACATCTACTTTAGATGTTCCAGTGCACATAAGAATTCATTTGTATCTACTTTAGAAACGAAGGCCAGCTCCTCGTGGGGCTCTCGCTCGGCGTCCCTCGGCCCTTTGCTCTCTCTGTCGCACTCCACGCGCACCTCTCCACCTTCCTCGCGGCGGTCATCGCATCATCGCACGGGACGCGGTCTGTCTGGTTTCTGGACGCTTAATTTTCACGCGGCGCGTGCCCGGGGCATTCAATGGAAAAAAATGTCGGAAAGCGACCTGAGGACTAGTGAATCATACGCTCACACAGCATTCCGATGCTGCCGCGGATGGCAAAATGCCACTCCCCGCATTTCGGGCTTCGAACATGGGTTGTCTGCACCGCGAATGATCAAATCATCCAATCCCGATCGAAATGCGAACAATCCTTGAGCGGACACTCGCCTTGCGTGACCTCGAGCGGCACGGCGTTGACCATCACGACGGGCGCGACGAGGACGGCGAGCCACCATGCCAGTGCCAGCGCGCACAGGCGCTCACGCCCATGTGTCATCGACGCTGCCGCCGCACCGATCGGTGCGGCCACCCTCGCCGCCTCAGGCCTGCTCTCTCTCCCTCGCCTCTTCTCCCTCCCGTCACCGCGCAGAGCTGAGACACCCGCGGTTCAAATCTGTCAGAGTGGGTCCCCGCTGCACCTACTCTGATGCGAGAAAGCGGCTACTAAGCCGCGGCTCTACGGGTGGGCATTCCTGATTTCCAACCAACGCAAGTTGTTCGTTTGGGCGTGGGTTGTGTTCATTCGTTCGCGTTCA